AGAGAGAGAGAGAGAGAGAGAGAGAGAGAGAGAGAGAGAGAGAGAGAGAGAGAGAGAGAGAGAGAGAGAGAGAGAGAATCCATAGAGTCATTAAAAAAAGGAAGTGCATTATGCACTTAAACGACGCCAATTTAAATCATACAATGACGGAATAATCCGTCCCACCAACCGAGAACCGTCTACGGCAAACAAAAAAGAAAACGGCAATGTGCATACGACGACTTATCGACCCGATCGGATCACCACCCACTTCCGTCGCCATGATGGCCAATCGAGACACTGCGCATCGACGACGGCCCGCACACGGCTGATTATACGACGGAAAGGCTCACGCTTCCACGCCATCGACCTCCATGGACGCCACAAAACGCACAACAAAGGCGGCACCAACTCTAACGCTCACGAATGGCCTTCGCTATCTCTAACAGAGCATGGCACATCAGTTTGTTGACTTCGTCCGACGCTGCATAATGCGTTTTCTGCACTTCGACCTCCGCTTCCAACGCCTCGCACTCCCGGATTTGGATGGAGCATTGGCGCTTGCTGGGGCTCTCCATCATCGACACCATTAGCACCCCGTGCTTCTCCATGCATTCTGTCATCGCTTCAAAAGTTTGCTGCCTCGTGCTCTTCCTCTTCCCGAAACCGCCTGGGCTACCCGTCGTTTGAGAAGAACCTTTCGTCGACCTGTCATCGTCGTCGTCCTGCCCTGCACCAGCGTCCCCATCGCCCACAGATTTGGGATCCGCAGAAGAGGTGGACGGCAGGCGCACACCACCCGAAGCACCGGTGTCGGCGACGTTCTTTGGGTGTATGGTATGGTTCTTCTGTCATGGACCCCACTATCTCGTCGTAAACCGCACTGGTCCATGTTCAAATTGAAGCCCTCGGACGTCCTCTCCTTCGCCGACAATTGGAAGAAGTCCTGTTTCTCGGATAAGCCATTGAAGTGATGCACCTTCTTGAACTGCTGGATCAAATTGTCCCACTTCTTCCCGCACTTATCTGCATCACTGTCGACGCTCACCTTCTTCAACCTTTGCACCACATCTAACCACTTCCATTCTTGCCGCTTCATCCGAGCGTAGGCATGACCTATCCCCTGCATGTGCGCATCCTGGTCACATTTAGCCCTGATGAGGGCTACAATGTGGTCGACGGACCAGAAGTGTCGACCTCCTTCCGCGTCACCGTCCCCCTCGGCATCGCTCCCCTTACCCACCACTTTTTTGCACCGATGACCATTACAGGCAGACGCCTTTGTCTTCTCGCCACTGCCTCTCATGTTGTCTTGCCTCAACGGCGAAACGTGGCCTTCATCTTCCTCCCCACCCTCTCCGTCGTTGTCGTCGTTGTCGTGATCATCCGCCTCCAGAACCGGTGCCTCCTTTTCCTTTTCGTGCTCCCCCACACGCAGTCGCTGCACCCCCCAAGTTATGGATTCCTCGCGCCCCAACCGGAGCTTTCACCGGTGTTCTGCCCACACCTCCCTCCCGTCACGTTCGTAACCAATATCCGCGAGGCCAGCATCCTTCTCCCCGCATTCGCCACGACGGGGGGCCACAATCGAACCGGTTGACAGGGGAGACGAAGACTGCATCCACGGGGGCCGAGCGGAGGCACCCCTCGACACAGACGGCGACTGGAATCGCTGCCTTCGAGGATGCCTGTTGTTCCCCGACGCCTCCCAAACCGGTGTTGGAGACTACGATGATCGAACAACAACTGTCACTTGCCTGTCGTCGTCGTCGGGGTGGGGACACACGACCACCTTTCACGAGGTGGCCGGCTACCTCCCACTAAAGAGCCCGAATGACAGATTCACGCCGCCATCGCCTTCGTCTCCACTGAGCCCCTCGTGGAGGAGTTCGGTGTACGACTGCCGATACACGCCATCGCGACTCCCTCATAGCTCTGTGGCCACCCACTCCGGGGTGGACCCACTTCCCAGCAGCACAGTTCGCAACCGTGTGTCATCCGCCTCCTCGTCGGACGTATCTGGCAGAGGTTGCAAATGCGGCGGTAAGTGCGCGTACCCAGACCGCTCTGACGACCTTGAACTCCTCGACGGGGTTTGCCCAGTCCGCTGGCCACTGCCCTACTGCCCCGCAGACCTACAGATCACCTGGCGCCCCTCCATCCTAACGTCCTTCCACGATTGCCGCCTTTTGCGCGCACGTTGTGGAACGCTACCGAGGATGCACACGTGGAACTCAAGTTACACAACTACAACGACGAGCAAGAGGACGACCAGCACCAGCAACGGCAGCCTCCGGAAGACGTTGGCCATGAAAGGCACGTGGACGACGGCAGCAGCTAGAAGACAACGGTGGACGTCGAGGAAACGGCGACGAACAGTGCTCCAAACAGCCGATCGCAGATATCGACCAACGAAGCCCGTCACGGAAGACACTGCGCAATCGGGAGAGGGGGGGCCGGCTGAAGTATTTGAATCTGCCGACTCTTGGGCGTCTTCCCGCTCGGGGTCAAGGGCACCGACGCGATACAGGCCCTTCGTTTGTCTTGGAGGCCGGCAGGCCGCCAACGGTCACACAATTCCATGACGCCGAAAGTTGTCGACCGAAGATGTCCGTCGACAGGCCGCCAGGAGCAGAAATCGACCAGCTGAGTTCGAGATTTGTCGTCGAGAGGCCTGTCGTCGACGCCCCGATTCTTCCGGATGCTCGACCTCCAAGGGACCTCGGGAGGTCCCTTGGGGAACGCGTCGAAATGGCTGTAGCCCGAGGAATCCCCGAGGAATCCCCGAGGAAATGTTTTCACTTTTTTTTTCAATTTCTTCCCCGAGGATAAGTGCAACGATGAATTCCTCAGGGGATTCACGCGCCCGAGGAGTGTCTAACGAGCCCCTTAATGATGTTATTGACGTATCGTTATCGCTCACAAATTGTGCCCATCAGGAGCAAATGTCAGAACGTCATTCAGAGAATGTGGTCATTTTTTGTTTCTTAAGAAAGAAAACTGTTACAGAGAAGGGCAAGTTTCACCCACGATGGAGTTTCATCCAATGGGCGAAAAAAACACATACTGGCAGGTCAGGCACACACACACACCCAGTTCGAACCAGCAAAAAATGAAAGGGATAACTGCTCTTGGGTCACACTTTCAAAACAGCAAAAAAAACACTTAATGGTAACATCCTCTTCCTCCAAGTTCAAAACAGCAAAAAAAACACTTAGTGGCAACATCCTCGTCGCCCAAGTTCAAATCGGCAAAAAAAAACATCACTTTTTTTTTTTCTTTTTTTTTTTTTTTAAATAAAAAACGGTTGTTTTTTTTTTTTTTTTTTTTATATTCCATCGCGGAACGAAAAAAAATAAAAGGTGTTTGGGCCCCATGGTTGGGCCACGGCCGAGATGTCTCGACCACACCCCAGATTGGACACGGCCGAGATGTCTCGGCCACACCCCAGATTGGCCACGGCCGAGA